GAGTCAGTTTCGCAAACTTCGACGGCGACTGACCCGATAGCACCGCCGCATAAAAAGTGCATGGTGGACGGAGAAGGCGAAGCAGATGGAATGCTACGCCGAACACCGCCAACACAAGGAATTCTTTGACTCCTTGAATGCGGTGTATGGACCGAGAATGAAAACTCCGAGGAAGCTGTTCGATGGTAGTTCAGGCGCTACCTGCAAACAGACTGCAGATATAATGCAGATCTGGAGGAAACACTACGAGTGTCTCTTGAACAACCGTTCGGAGATTGACTGGTCTACTTTGAACGGCCTCAAGCAGCACGAGGTGAAGATGTCTGGCGGACACGCCGATACTGAATGAGAGCACTTGTTCAGCTGCGAAATGGCAAGTGTGCTGGCGTCGACGGGATCCTGCCTGAAGTGCTGAAACATCGCAGAACTGTGTTGGTGAATGCGCTGCACCACTTGGTGCAACGCGTGTGGATTGAGGAGAAGGTGCCTCCTGAGCTGAAGGATGCTCTTATACAACCACTGTACAAGCGTAAAGAAAGTAAGCAATGTGCAACGAATTATCATGGCATCAACTTGCTGAGCTGTCGGGGCAAGGTGATGGCCCAAATCCTGTTCAACCGCCTCGTCAGTCAGGTTGTGGAACCTAACGTGGCGGAAGAGCAATGTGGATTCCGTTCGGGTCCTAGCACCACAGATACGGTGTTTGCGGCTAACCAGTTGCAGGAGAAGTGAAGAGAAGGACACTAGCCGTTGTACTCGGTTTTTGTTAATTTCACCAAGGCATCTGATACGGTGAACCGCGAGGCATTGTGGCTGGTGTTGGGTAATTTTGGTTGTCCGAGTAATTTTGTAAGTTTAATTGAATGTCTGCACAGTGGAATGTGGGCGAGGGTGCGACTGAGTGGACAGACCCCGGAAGACTTTGCAGTTGTCTCTGGTGTGAAGCAAGGCTGTGTCTTAGCTCCTTCCCTGTTTACTATATCTTCATACCATGATGTCTTGTGCTTATGACGCGGCTTTCGCTTACGGTGTTCGTGTGCATCACCGATTTGACCAGGGGTTGCCAGGCTTGAGGCGGGCAGGAGCAAACCATTGAACACCCGGAGGTGCCCTCCCACCGTCAAAGACAATGCGTGGCGCTCGTGCTCTACTCCAATCGAGCTGTGAGCTTATAACCCATAAACCTGTTGTCTCCCATAGCAAGGTTTTACGGGAATAGGGCCATTGACCACTTTCTAACCTCCGAAGAAGATGGACTAGGACACTGACGGGAGAACGACTCGGGTCCTAAGCCAAACCCTTCGATTAAATGTACACCCCAAAGGCAGCGGGTCTGGCACATGGTCACTTCACTGACGCATGCGGATTGGTGTCCTGGATCTAATCAGGGAGAACGGCATAACCCAACTCCCACCCAGCGGTCGCCACAAGGCGTCCGGGACATTAACCCATGGCACAACAGTAGCAGCAGTGGGTAGATCATCTATCAAGATCTAGCATGCATGCATATATATATATATATATATATATATATATATATATATATATATATATATATATATATATATGCCCCATGCTGAGACTGATGTTGCATTCATGATGCTTCTTCACTGCAATTGGGCTAAACAAACGTACACTTAAACTAGGTCTTTTTAATGTGGATAAAATTTATTACATTTTATTTGGTTTGTTCTGCGTACTTGATAATCTTCTCCCAACTTGCACACGTCGCTCATGGAAATTGTGGTAAACTTGCGTAATTGTATCGCGTGGTATTTTTTAAATAACTCGGATATTTTGTACTTATCACGGATTCACTTATAATCAATTTCTTCTATATGCTCATTTAGCGAGTATTTATGCCGTCATATGCGTTTACTTTATTCGATATCGGCATTTTGAGTGATTGGCTGTTGTTTGACATCCCAGGTGTGGCTGCGCTTGATGTGCATGTTGACAAGGTGCCTACCTGTCTATTACCCACTATCTCGTCCATACTGGCTCTAGGAGACAGTTGGTCGTTGCTGCAGGGGACGGGATGCACGGTCCTTGTGGTCGTGCTAAGCTCGAAGAGTGGTTCCATGCAGTCAGTGTGGAGTGGACTACGGTCCAGCCACCGCCTTGTGTGCACTTGATTCCCCAACTACAGCGTGCTTGTGTTTGCCTGTGAAGGAGTGTGGGCCGGCTCCGTTGATGAAACGCGGCTCCCATCCGCATGCCTCCCGGTCTTATTCCTTCGGGTTTACACTGGATATGGGGTGTGTGGATGGAGCTGTGGGTGGTGCAGCGCAAGCCATCCATGGTCCCTCTGTAGGCGCAGGCGTCCTGTGGCTGGCCACAGTGACAGGCAAATCCGAAACCGGATGCCGCCAACCATATATATAGCTTATAAATCGTAAGTTGTTACGGTTTCGGGTAAGTAGGTAAACGACTTCTCCGCAACACCTAACGTGGAGAATGGTCAGGCTGTTTGGCTGATCCCAAGCCATTGATTCATCTGTAATGAACGCCCATGAGAGTAGTTGGAAGGTTTCCCCTTGTGTAATGCAGGAAAGGAAATCATTGTGCCACATACGGTAGGGTACTGTCGGGAGCAGAATACTAGTATCACGGCCAACTAACAGCTCGTTAGACGACAAACAACAAGGAAGTAGTTCAGAGCACAAAGAATAGTAAAAATTTAATCCTGCCCGATGAACTGTAGGACGCTCGAACAATGCTGTCAGTAACTGCATCCGCTGATAGGTGATTAGCGCACCTGAACTTGGATGAAACCACTAGTGAATAAAACAGCGTGTTTCCAGATTACAGTCATCAAGATAACCTAAACCCAACGCCCCATTCAACATGTGCCTACAACGTTATCAATCCCCTGGAATCGGTCTGGGGGAGGGAGAAGTGAGCTAACGGATGCAGCTAGAACAATGTAGTCGCCAAGCGTGTTTGTGCTTGTAAACATGAAACGAAAGGGGAAACTCGAAGTGTGTAGAAGGCTGACAAAGACCGAAAGACACTATATCAACAAAATCCCGAGTTTCATGCAGCGATAGCGCACACATTCACTACCTGTGATGAACAATCGTACAAGATTTCAATTCGAGGATATAATGCCTCTATCGCAATCCCAAGCGGTGAGGCAAAAAAAACTCACTTGCCATTCCTAAACTGTGCACCAAACACAGGTGGAAGAAAGCGCGTACTTTGGAGAACGTGGTAAAAATTTGAAGTGCCACGAGAAACTCATGGTGATGAAATGGTAACATTGAGAGATACGATCAACAAATTTGTGACCTGATTGCCATGTCCACATGTTACACGGAATATGGACACCTAAGTTCCATCGGAGCGTTACAACAGTACAGTACAAGCTAGCCGGGTTAACTTGAGTAGGTCAAACACCGTCCCCTGAATGGTAACATTAATGGTGAGGCAGAACATTTTAACAAGGGGATAATCCGCCAGAGGGCGCATGCGGCTACCTCGGACCACTATAAAGACCAAATGAAAATGGCAGCATGGTGAACGATGATGTGTTAAGAGGATCTAACAATGCTCACGTAATATAGACGGTTAGAAGGAAACAGACGACAAAGATTAATGGCAAAGATTATTTTCTGGTGGGCAGATAAGCCAATGTAGTTAATGGATCATTCGGGTTCGTTTCAAAGGTGTTAACAGTTACCATGGAAATGACGTATTCTCTCAGTCAGAGAGGGGATTCAAAGCGTAGCCCAATGCCCGGTGGCGTAGATTCGGGGTCCAGAGGCTAACACAACACGCAGCATAGGCGTCTGTGACTTTGGTTCCCGTTGACAAATCAACGACCACAACCTGGAGCCTTCTGTCATCCTAGATCAGATGAAAAAACACTGACCTCGTCGGTGAGTGGCAGGCGCATGCGTCTCAACTGACGTGCGTCGGGCAGTTTCATTCGTTGGTCTAACGAGCTCATCTGAGTTCGCCATAGTTTAGTGATTGTCTGAACATCTTTTAGTTGAAGACACAATCTGGTGCCCCAATTTCATGAAGGTGGGTCCAACTGTCACAATACCTGCACTAACTTCAGCTGTTGCTCACCCGTCTCTCAAAATGCAGCAAACAAAATAGCTGAAATGACCAATTAGCTATAGTCGTAACGAGACGACGACGACGACGACGACAACAACAACAGTTGTGACAACGATCAGGTGTATCGTTTGCGATTATCATACAGGAACATGATGTAGTTCACACACGTCAGATGAATTAGTCCACACAAGAGCAACAATCCAATGCATTCACCGTGAGTTGCTGAAATTAGGCACTCTATGTCGGAGAAAGTTGCAAAACAATGAAGAGATGAAGTGGTATGTGCTCGGCTTGTAGCACGTGACAGCATCGAGAACGCGGTGGAATAAATCATATGTGACAACCACGCGCAGACGAAATTCAGCACCACTCTTTGGGCTGCAAACAGTAGTTCCTGAGGACTCAGACCAAATACTGGAGTTGAGGTCGATGTCCACTCCGAGCTAATCTGTAGTCGCTGTGTCATTATACGCGGAGGCGCGCAACTAGCAGTGCCGGCTTCGAGGATAGGTCCAATGTGGACACTGAGTGTTCCGAAGACATGCAAATGCAACCTACTGACAGCTCAGCTCTAGGTTGCCAACCTAGACATCAAGAAAAAGTGTAAGGTAATCAGGCAAGACACCGTTAAGCTAGGGATATCAATGGGTAGTATGGAAATACAGGTGGAGTAAGCAAGGCTGATGTAGTACTGTAGTTGCACTTGGGACCATGTAACTATGACTAGTAATAGAGATAGAGAGTGGTAAGAGAAAAAAAAGGAGAAAAGCCGCAAGTGACCACAGTATACTGTTTTCGCCTACCCACTATGTTGTGTGCGGTAGAGCAATCAAGGTAAGGCTAAACGCAGTCCACTGCTTTTCCGAATGTGCTGTGGGTGGAATCGAGTCGTTAGTGATCTTACATAAGTCGGTATAAAGGCAAGTACTCACATTTTCCAACAAAGGAAGTATGTGATGGCGAAGACAAGGTGAAGGAATGTTGCCAGCCAAATCATTCCTTGCTGGTGGTCCGTGGCGATACGGGTCGTTCGGTGTCCGATGTGGACCTTCGGCAGCCGAATGAGTGAAGCCCAAGACAGGTTGGGATGAACGTCGCTGAACTAACGTGTCAAAAGGACCAACGTCTGGATGAAATGTGAGAAAAAAGAATGCATGCGATTGTAAAGGACCCGTCACAGGTTAAAAAATGACCCACACAAAGGCCGATTGAGAGGAAACCAACGAGCAAAAAAAAAGAAATTAGGTCCACTGCACGACTGAAGCAATCCATGCACAGAACACTAGGATAAACAGCACAAGAAAGTGAATGCGTTGTTGGAATCTGTGACAGTTTCGCGGAGATGATTGAATATGTTATAGCAAACATTCGAGTGCAAAAGGAAAATTACGTCAACAGATTCAAGACGATTCTCATTCCAACATTGGTTAATAGAGGGCTGAGGAAGTATTGTTACCGATGGGTGTATTTTAAGCGAAATAAAGTCAATAGGTGCAGAGTGCATTGCTATTGCTGTCCCTGAACGAGTCGAGACCTACGTCAATAATGACTCATGAAAAAGTAAGGCTGAAAGAAAAACAAAAAAACGGAACTCAGTAAGGATAGAGAGGGTTCGAAAATAAGCTTCATACTAATGCGCATAAAATGGTTGGTGGAATTTCCGCGAGTGTCTTCAAAGAAAGAACGGTTACACAACGCAGTGTTCCGTTCGCTGATTCTCAAAAGCCTCGATGCAATGGAAAGTAGTTACTAGTGAGTAGCAGAATTTTAGTTGTAATTTTTAAAGTATTCATCCCAGCAGTTCACAAGCTGCATAGCACAGCCTAGTCCGGAAAAGCACCAGATGCGTTTCGCCCTATTGGGGCTTGTCGGTAAACCAAACGCAAACACTAGTTTGAAAAGTTGGAAAGAAGTATTGATTTTTAGTAATGCTGGGCTGTAGGGAGAGTGATAATTAACGTTATTATCGGAGAAGTGTCAACAATCCGTTGATAAAATTCAGGTCTCGGCCATATGGAAACATGGAATAGTCACTCCGTTTTACAAGAATGGGAATCGCGCGCAGCCCTCTGATTGGCGTTCAAACACTTTCTTTCTGGTGTTATGCAAAGGTGTATCGCAGAACTTAAGAGCAACAAATTCACAGTGTCACAATAACAAGGACTCCGCCGATAACAATACTGCACTACAACCAGGCTGGACGGAATCAGTCTAAGCCAGAGAAGTCGACGTCGTCCACCTGGACTTCTCTAAAGCGTTCAACCGCCTGGACCACCACATTCGCCTTCACAAGTCACTAAGTTATGAAACCAGTGATACTGTGCTGCGTTGGATAAGCAACTTCCTCATTCACTATCAACTGAATGTGAGAGTCCGCATCCCCATTTCTGACCCAATCGAAGTCCAGTGTGGTGTGCCCCAAGGATCGATCCTAGGTGCATGCTTGTTCACCAACAGTCTTGCCAGTGTACCACAACCGGACTTCTAATTATCTGGTTGTTTGGAAAGTAACCCGATGAAAATGATGGACGAGTTTCTAATAATGAATAAATGATCTTTTGAACTATATACTGTCCATTCAGGTCCAATGCCTTCTGCCAACTTTCTGGCAATGGTTTGAGTTCACGCTCATAATAAGTTGGTTCTTTACTGGCAAAAAACGGATCCAGGTGATTATCGACCCTATTTGAAGTAAAGGTTTTATCGTCTAAAACATTTTGTAGAGACGGAAACAAATAATAATCAGGTACCAGAACTGTAGAACATGATGGGTGTGACAGTGTATCACATCCAAGCAGTAAATGTTTTTGACGAGTTACCTGTACTTGTATGAGGTCTGGCATTATGTTTGTGGAACACTAAACCTTTTCTATTGATTAATTCTGTCCTTTTCTGTTTAAGGGAATCATTCAATTTGTTCAGCTTATGACAGACAGTACACTACAGAATTGATCATTGTGTTGTCCGGTAGAAGCTCCAAATAAACGATTCCTGTGAAATAGTACCAAACAAATAACATCATCTTTTTAATGAATAACGGCTGGGGAAGTGGTTTGAGCCGGTTCATCATTTTTATTCCATGATCTCTAGCATTTAACATCGTTGTAGACAACCTATTTCTCGTCCTCAGTGACGAAGAGCTTCAAAAATGGATCATTTTTTGACGTTTGAGAAATAAACCAGACAACCACGCGACGGCACAAATTTCTTTCCGTAAGAACATGAGAAACCCATATGCCGAGCTTTGAGATGAAAGCTAGGCGTTTCAAATGATCATGAACGGTCGAATTAGATAAATTAAAGCTCTCAGCGACCTCACAAGCTGTTGTTCGCCGGTTTGCATCAATAAATGCAAAGTAATTAATTAACTGATGCAATTAATGAATTGAAAATTATTGAACTTAATTGATTAGTCAACATCGGATCGAAATTTTGCAAACCGTTTTAGCAACTTGCGTTCTGTCAATACATCTGCATACACATGTGATAATTTTTCTTGCTTGAATAGCATTTGTACCTTTTCGACGGTAAAAAAGTAGAAGATGCATAAAATGATGCTTTTTAATACCCATATTTGAAAGGACAACAACCAAAAACTACTGCATAGAATAAATCGAACTTTTGCACAAGCAAAGCTTGCTATATTACCAGTCAAAATATAAAGTATGCAGCTTAAGTGTGAAGTTGGCTGTGAAAAAATGCAATCAAATCTTACGTTGGGAAAAACGAAATTACTTTCCGAACAACCGGATATTTGCAGACAATGTCAGGATAAAAGACGATCACGCGGCACTACAGAGAGATCTCGATATGTGGTCATCCGAAACCAGCTCCAGTTCAACGTGGCGAAATGCAAAGTTGTGAGCGTACGCCATCCGTGCACCTATGAATATCGACTTGGGGGCCGGCAGTCGCAACGTGATACCCAGGAAAGAGACTTTGGAGTAATTGTGCAGAGCAATCTTAGTTGATCGAAACAGGCTGAAATGGTATTGCAAAGAGACAGTCAGCACCTTTGACTCTTTCGGAAAGTTCGAGCCATCTATGTGACCGCAAATGTTGGCAGCCTACATGAGGCTCTCCGAGGAGCATGTGATCTAAGCCTGGCGTCTTTGGCGCAAACACGATATTGATGCGCGTGGAACTCCACAAGGTAGAGCGACAAGATTCGTTAGGTGTTCGTTCTACCTCCCCTACCAATACAGCCTGCAAGTCCTTGGATTGTACAGCGTCAGCAAGGAGACCCCATCACGGATGACCTAATACTGACATACTCAAATCACGCTTGTCGCGGCCTGCAGCAACTCAGCCACAGTACAGACCTGAGAGTGCACAATCCGAAACTAGCTACATACTATGGACGACGTGATTGTCGACAAAACGTTTTCTCCCTTCGGGTATCCAGCACATGGAACGCCCTTCCAACTCCCGTTATTGTGACCTCAACATTACCGCCTTCCAAAAACGACTTAGAGACATACTATCATCCTCGCATTAGGTGACATAGTCCGCTTCACTCAGAGGACGAAATAACTTCAACCCAACTGTGTGCTCACTGGCCCTTTTAGTAACACAGCGGTGAGGAAACCTACATCAGTGTTCATGTGGAATAGCTTGGTGAGTCACATAAAACCAGGATTTCTTTCTTCTTCTATGTTACTTTTGTACATTTGGTTTCATAATCTCCACTCCGATCATCCGACGGGACTTGTCAAGCAATCGCTATTGTGCCCGCCATAAGTCATTGCATGTCACCAACCAGTTGGAATCCAAAGTGGATGGAGAACAATGCGGATTTCCACAAGCTGCAGAAAAACCGGCATGACGCTTGAAGCCAGACAATTAGACGATGAATGCAGTAGAAGAAACCAACCAGGCTACCAGCTGTTTTCCGACTTCAGCAAAGCGTTCAATACAGTGAACCGTGAGGCATTGTGGCCAGTATTCGGTTCACCTGGTAAACTTATTCATGTAATCGAATGTTTGCACACAGATATGTGGAGACAGACGCAGTTGTGCGGAAGAACTGGCTTCACATATGACGCCTCATGTTTGAAGTTGTACGTCAAGCCGAGTGGAATTGATGATTTGCCGATAAATCCGATATAAAGATGAAGTGATAGGGGATAAAGTGACCTCACGTTGTGTTGTGGATGGCAATCAGGAAGCGGTGTACTCGATCCTCAGAAGCGAGTACGGTTTTGGGCAAATTTGGATGCCAGTGTTGAAAGCAAACCATCTAGCCAACAGCACAAATGGCAACGTCGGCCCTTCTCCGTAGTTATGAAACATGGAAAAGTAGCAATAAAACCACCACCGTGAGTAAACGACCAAACAGTGCTTCAAGTGAAGGTTTTGACTCAACAATTGACTGTCAACAACTGTGAATTACAAGATCTTCGGGTTGGGATGGCATTTTTCAGAAATAGAGTACATTTGCCAAACGAGAAAAACCCTATGGTGTCAGGTGAAAATTGTGATTACGCAATTCATCTCGACATCCATAGAACTGCCTCACAATGAAGGCACTTAGATAGATAAATTCAAATGTATAGAATCAAACTAAAACCGATGAAGTCGAGAAACTAGCCGAAGAAAGCACACCTTCAAATTTGCCACATTCAATTGAAAAAATAGCCAAGGCGTGGACACCAGAACAACAGGTTAGCGGACAAGCTCGTTTTCGGTGGCGCTTGTCAGGCTAAAACACCACAAGTGATAGGAATAAGATTAACGTAAAAGATCGGATAATAGTAAAGTTCAAAGTGTTCGGAATGTAAATGCTGGGGTCGATTCAGAAGTTGTCGATGACTTGTCAGCGGCGTGTTCCTCAACATGAGTAATTGTGATAGTGGGCCAGGGTAAACATAGAATTTGAACGAACCGTTTTTGAGCACATAAGTCTGGGATCTGGTGGTGGATAGCAATCGCCTTAGCTGCTGCTAGTAGGTGACATTTTACCGCTCGAGAAAAGCATCCAGATAGACTGTAAATGGGTTGGAAAGATAGGTGGATGTTGATTTGGTGGTTAGAATTAAGCAGATGTGCCAACACGGCGCTCATCACAGTTTTACTCCTAGCACTGTGTAGACTAGCTGGGAGATGCTCACATATTCTCTCAGACAT